ACCTACCATCGACAGTTGATAAGGCAGACACTTGAAAGAAACGTCGCCGGCTCGTGGCCGTGCGATCAGCACAAAGTTATCCAGAGTCACCACACAAAACGGACCGAAGCCCGATTGATCTTGGTCTAATAAAAGCACCCGTCGCCCCGAGGGGCTTCGGGCTCACTGCATGTATTAGCTCTAGAATTGCCACAGTTATCCAAGTAGGAAGAAACGATCTAAGGAACCATAACTGATTTAATGAGCCATTCGCGGTTTTGCCTTGTTTCGGCATGTACTTAGACATGCATGACTTAATCTTTGAGACAAGCATATGACTACTGGCAGGATCAACCAGGTAATCTTTTCGTGGTGGGTCGCCCAAAACCCTACCAACGCGCGGACGCGGGGCCACCGTCAGGCGCCCCTTACGAACCGCAAACACACACAACGCTTAGGAATTACTTCCAAATCCAAGAAGAAATGAAGCACGTTCGAGCGCGCAGCCGGAATATCCCCGACCGAGGTCGGTACCGACGCGGCAAGAAGCGCATAAATTTCTTTCTCGTCGTAGCAACAGAAAGTCGTACGCCAAAAAAATCATTGACGACGCCTTCGCAGCGTTGCCGAGCTTTCAGGTCCCGTGAGGACGCGAGGACGCACCCCGGCCTTCGGTCAGAACGCACTCGTCATTTCACACCGTTCGCTTAGCGCGGACGCTCCGAAACACCCTCCTCTCGCATTCGTTTTCAAGACACAGGTGCACCCGAGAACCGACCCCAACGGCAGACGCCAGAGATCGCAGGTACCTTGCTGTAACGACCATGCGGCGGAGGCAGCGGCCGAGACGGCGACGAAAGGCGTCGGCGACGTCGTCAGACGCCGCTCGCACCAATCGAACGCTCGACAGACCCCACCTCCACATAATAGCACCGATAAGTATAAAGAAGATCCTTCAAGAGCATTCTGTACATAGTTTGTGGTTATCAGTTTCGGTGACTGACTGACTGACTTACTGTCTCTCACTTATGTGGCTCCTCGTTATTCAGTATCATTTATTTGTCCTTCTTTCTTTCTTATTTTTTTCCCCTCTCTCTCTCCTTATATATATATATGTATGTATGTATGTTTGTGTGTATATATATATATATATAAATGTTCTTTTTTCCTGTCTGCCTCTATGTATACATACATACGTACATACATCCTACCCCTATAAAAAAAATTATTTCTCGCTTTTTATTAAAAACGTGCTGACCCCTGCTTGACTCTGATTACTTCTTTTCGACTTTCAGTTCATGTTAACATGGTCAACAGAAAGTTTATTGACTTTGTTATTACAAAGTAAACCAATATTTACACGGGGCGTTTCATGCGTTTTGAATTGTGTCAGAGCCGAACAATGAGCGCTATAGTAAGTGAGATTGTCACTGCTTTTAATCCGAATGCTCGCGGTATCGCGCTTGTTTACGGCAGGCTTCATAATAGGCAATTTTCTTTCTTTACACTACTCTTCTTTGCTCACTTCATTGTTTCTACCATTGGTTTCGTTTGGAAGGCCCCGCCACTTAGTTACCAACAAAGTCCTCTCAAGGAACGAAGTGAGAAGCACGGGATTAACAAAAGAAAAAGATGCGTGTTTTCTAGCGGTTACCCGTGTCGCTTTGCGACACGGGCTTTCTGGCGCTTTCAACTGGGCGAGAGCCGAACAATTTACCCTACTGCACTTGCGACGGGCAGCGCTTTCAAACGGAATACTGGAAATCTCGCTTACTCTTCTGGCAAGTTTGATAGGAGACAAATATTATTCTTTTCACGCGAATTGTTCGCTCTATTTCTAATCTCTCTCTTCCGTGTCCTTGGCATGGAACGCCCCCTTCGTCTCCCACAAAGTACTTCCGAGGAATCAAGTGCAAATCACGCGACTTTAAAATGTGCGTGTTTTCTAGCGGTTACCCGTGTCGCCAGGCGACACGGGCTTTCTGGCGCTTTCAACTGGGCGAGAGCCGAACAATTTACCCTACTGCACTTGCGACGGGCAGCGCTTTCAAACGGAATACTGGAAATCTCGCTTACTTTTCTGGCAAGTTTGATAGGAGACAAATGTTATTCTTTTCACGCGAATTGTTCGCTCTATTTCTAATCTCTCTCTTCCGTGTCCTTGGCATGGAACGCCCGCTTCGTCTCCCACAAAGTACTTCCGAGGAATCAAGTGCAAATCACGCGACTTTAAAATATGCGTGTTTTCTAGCGGTTACCCGTGTCGCGAGGCGACACTTGCTTTCTGGCGCTTTCAACTGGGCGAGAGCCGAACACTGTACACTACTGCACTTGCGACGGGCAGCGCTTTCAAACGGAATACTGGAAATCTCGCTTACTTTTCTGGCAAGTTTGATAGGAGACAAATATTATTCTTTTCACGCGAATTGTTCGCTCTATTTCTAATCTCTCTCTTCCGTGTCCTTGGCATGGAACGCCCGCTTCGTCTCCCACAAAGTACTTCCGAGGAATCAAGTGCAAAACACGCGACTTTAAAATGTGCGTGTTTTCTAGCGGTTACCCGTGTCGCGAGGCGACACGGGCTTTCTGGCGCTTTCAACTGGGCGAGAGCCGAACAATGTACACTACTGCACTTGCGACGGGCAGCGCTTTCAAACGGAATACTGGAGATGTCGCGTGCTTTACTGCCAAGCTCAATAAGAGACGAATTTCTTTCTTTTCACGGGAATTATTTCCTCTATTTCTAATCTCGCTCTTTCGTTTCATTGGGAAAGAACGCGCGCTTAGTTAGCCGCAAAGCAGTCTGAATTAATCACGTCCAAAGTACAGAATTTTACAATATATAGTGTTTTTACCGGTTGACCGCGTCAGAAAGCGTACCTTTCCGACGAGGTCTGTGTCGCTTTGACGTGAGCGGGAGCAAGGCGATTTGGGCTAGTGCACGCGAGATTGGCAGCGCTTCAAATTCCAGTACTGTAGATATTGCGTGCATTTTTTACACGCTTGAGGATGTGGGATTTTCTTTCTTGTGACGTGACCCCTTTGTCAAATTGTGTCTCGCTTTTTGGTATCGTTTAAGAAGCCCGTCCGCTTACAATCCTAAAAAAGAAAAAAAAAAATTAGTAAAGAAAGACGCCTATACTTTTTTGTTGCTCTTTCTTTTATTATCTGCGCAGGATTTTAATTTGTGTAAGTTTTGTTTACCGTCCCGACTACGTAGGCGTTCGTACATGCCCGTCCTCGCGCCTCGAATTGTGTGCGAGCGAAATCAATCTCCCCAAGCTAGCTTCATAAATTGCTCGAAAATCGAACGTGAGGAAAGCCAGAGATACGTGGTTTTCACAGGTCGTGCAAGATTAATCCATAAAGTGCGATATTGGTATATATATATATACATACATACATACACATACATGATTTCTGCGACAAATAGGAAGACAAAAAGACCATGTTCAAGCATAATATAGGAACATTGACACTTTGCACACACAAGGGAGGTCAAATGGCAGGTTTTTCTTCCTTGTGCAGGAAACTTTATTGCAATGTCAGAAGGGAAGTTCCACTCTAGAATTGTGCGCTCAATAAAGGAGGAAAGGAAATGCACTTGAAAACCTTCACAGTTCAAGTAAGAAAACATTTCGAAACGACAGTTTGTTTTCTTGCAGGGAGGAGAAGAGGGGAGAGAGGGAGGGAGGGAGGGAGGGAAGGAAGGAAGGAAGGGGGGGGGGTGCCATGCACGGTGAAGACCAGAGTGTCGAACCGAAAACCGAAGCGAACGAAAAACCGGAACCGAGGAGTTAGTTTCAGCCGAACCGAAACTGACCCGCCAACTTGGAACTGTACGGAAGAAAATATAACTGTCTATTAGTCTGACGATGAATAGAAGTACAAGGGTGTACGGCAGGGATAGCTGAAAAAAAAAAGGCTCTATGGACTTGGAGCGGCAGCCCAAAGTCGATGACGACGAAAAGAAAGCACACAGTTTCGGAAAACAGGCGGTAAGAAAGCGACAAATTAAGTAGCCGTCATGTCGAGTTGATTGCTTAGCTCTATTTAAGATGAAGGAAAAAAAAAGTAGCACAATGGATGCTTACTTGCTAAATTGATTCAACCATTATCTTGTAAAGAAAAAAAACCTCAAATGCCAATCACCTGTATTTTAGGCGACCCAACAGACTGATGACTTTTAAATTCAGGCTAAAATATAACACAAAAAAAAAACAAGGAAAGACAGATATGTATGTAGCTTGTCATTTACTGCTCCATCAAATTTAAATAAAGCAATTTATTTCTCGGCACCTGAAAATAAGCGAACCCTACAAATGAATGGAAAGATACCCGTTTGCACTCTTGAAATAGTGCCTATTACGAAAAGAAGCACCAGGTAAATATAATATCACTTTAGCTTCTTCTTTTTCTTTTTAATACGGTACGCTGTTGGTTCATCTTAGTAAAATATATAAAATAGCGCAAAAAGGACGAGGACAAGGAGTATACAGGACAGGCACTCACTTTCAACTAGTTTTATCCAGGAAAAGTAAACATACATATATAGCTTTTATTCACGATAAGTGCCGAGGGCAGCCGAGAAGGCGGCAATAGCCCCGGATGGTTTGATCGTGCTGGAAGACACCAGCATCCCAGCTCAAATATCTTCTACCCTTAAGAATATGTGCTGCTTTGCCTGTCGTGTGTATATACATGTTCACTTTTCCTGAATGAAACTAGTTCAACATCAGCGCCTGTCCTGTATACCTCTTGTTCTTCTATTTGTTGTGCTATTTTAATGTCCTACATTACTTTTGTGCTCCCGCAAATCGAAGCAAACCAATAAAAAATTCGGTTCGACACTCTGGTGGAAACTAAAAGCTTAGAAAGAAAGAGGAAAAAAAGAAAAAGGAAAACATTTCTACAATAATGATAAGCAGGAGGAGGAGGAGGAGACAAGAAGGCTAATAATGTGGAAAAAAAAGACACGACCCAAATAAATCAATACAAAGGATGGTATAAGTCATGCATACTTACCACATGTAAAATTAATTAAAAAAAATTAGAAAACAAAAATGTGTATATATTGTGAGGGCGCTTCTGCGTAGCACTGCCCACGGACATCGTCGTCGTCACTTTTGGCTGTGGGTGGCGCGATCGGCATCGTCAGCTGATGAGTGGCACCTTTTTTGAAACGTTCTGCAGCTATCAGACTCTGATAAAAAACCGTCATCTGACCGACCTGTCTCTGTCTCACAACGTGGTGGAGGTGAGCCTTTAGACCCCGTACCTTCCCTTCGAGCTTCCGCTTAAAACCCTGGAGCTCCGAAACCGCACTCTGGCTACCATCACGGCGACGGCTGCTCAAACCCCCTCGATGTCTCAACCATCTACGACGACGACTACAGCCACCACGATGACTGAACAGCAATTGCAACCAAGTCCTACCACTCCTGGTTGGACGATTCGCAGCCGCCAAAGAGACCCTAAGGTTTTTGCTGGTCTTCGTGACGAAGATGTTGAGGACTGGCTCGACAGTTACGACCGCGTGAGCGTCTACAACAGATGGGACAATCCCACTAAACTCGCTAACGTGGTCTTCTACCTTACTGATGTTGCCAAAACGTGGTTTCTGAACCACGAAGAAGAAATTCCAGACTGGAACGCTTTTACCACGAAGCTAAAGGACATATTCGGCACTCCAACTAGCCGCAAAGAGAACGCGAAAAAGAAACTCGAGACTCGACGTCAAGGAGAAGAGACGTACACCTCCTACATTGAAGACGTCCTCGCGCTCTGCCGTCGCGTCAACTGCGAAATGCAAGAGAGTGAGCGCGTACGTAACCTCCTGAAGGGAATTGCGGAGCCGGCCTTCAATGTTTTTCTGGTCCGAAAGCCCGAATCGATAGCTGACATCACATCTGTTTGCCAACACCTCGATGAAATGCGGACCATCAGAGTTTCTTGCCCAGCTCAGAATCTCGGAGAACCAAAAGCGACAAATTCTGAACTCCGCACCCTCATTAGAGACATCGTTCGAGAAGAGCTCCGGGAGATGCTCAACGAAACACGCCGCGGCGCTGAACCGGCAGCAAGTTCTCCAGACTTGCGGTCCCTTGTCCGAGACGAGTTAGCAGCTCTACCTTCTGCAACTCTTCCTCTCCCCACGCCCGCACCACCAACCTACGCCGAGATTGCCGCTAGGATGCCTTCCCCTCAAGTGGCTTCGTTACAACAACTCCACACCCCACCCTCCTTGGCTGCATTTACTCCAGCCACCCTCACCCCGACGTACCAATCTTGGAGACCACCCAACCGCCCAGTATGTTATTACTGCGGCATTAGGGGTCACATTGCCCGCTACTGCAGGAAACGCAGAGATGACGACAGGTACGACAACTCTTATCATCCTCACTTTCGCCGAGATCAAGGGACCTACAATGTAGGTCGGAACAACTCCGGCCGCCAAGGAAGTATTTCCCCTCAGAGGTCGAGATTTGAAAGCCAAACATATCCTAGGCGTCGTTCCCCCTCTCCACTCCCACGCTCTGGGTCTCCGATGATTCCATCTACCCAAACCTACCCTAAATACCCAGCGGAAAACTAAAAAACGCAGTTCTTGGGGGGAGAACTGCGAACCAACGGAACCAGACAACTCCTCCAATCCCATCCAATTTGATTGACGTATGTGTAGAAGGTTTAAATGTTCTTGCTCTAGTTGATACCGGCGCCGCAATTTCAGTTATAAGCGAAGATGTCTGCAAAACCTTAAGAAAAGTCCGAACTCCCTTTCACGGTACTTGTTTACGAGGAGCGGGAACCAATTTGATATATCCCTCCGCATTGTGCACGGCGAGGGTGGTAATACAAGATACCTGCCATCACATAGAGTTTGTTGTTTTACCAAATTGTACACACTCACTTATCCTTGGCTGGGACTTCCTCTCACTTAACTCGGCAGTAATTGACTGTAGTCATCCGGAATTATTTTTGACCACTCTTGACGTCTGCAATACAGCTACTGATCACAGTGCGAAAATATCAGTTGAAACCGACTCGGTTATTTCTCCATTCACAACACACGTATTACCACTCGTATCGACAACCGCTTACACAACGGATGTCGTCGTACAACCATCGAGCACATTTCTCGCGAGAGGCATAGTTGTACCGCACGCACTTATCCGTTTCATCGATGGAAAAGCTCTCATAGCTGTCTCTAATGTTAGTACTGAGTCCGTTCTCATTCCACATGGTACAGTTGTCGTGACTGCGACACCACACTCACCCGTTTCTCTGTGTTCTATATCCGTCCCTCAAACCAAATCTTTGCTTACCCAGAACTGTAAAACATTGTCTCTGCATACAACAATTAGCCAAGATCTTGACGAATCAAAAAAACGTCAACTCCTATCTTTGCTAGAGCAGAACAGAAAAATATTCGACATCGTATCACCTGCCCTTGGTCAAACCCACACGACAGAGCATCGCATCCACATTGAAGATTCTGCTATTGTTCATCGTCGTCCGTACAGGGTTTCCCCATCAGAGCGTTCCATAATCGAGGACCATGTAACTGATATGCTGAAAAAGGGTGTAATTCGTCCTTCACGCAGTTCATTCTCGTCACCGGTAGTCCTGGTCAAAAAGAAGGATGGAGGCATTCGCTTTTGTATCGATTACCGCCAACTGAACAAAGTCACTCGTAAAGACCTTTACCCTATGCCACGCATTGACGACGCACTGGACTCCTTGCAGGGAGCTGAATATTTTTCATCTCTTGATTTACGGTCCGGTTATTGGCAGATCCCGGTTAATGAAGAGGACAAAGAAAAAACTGCGTTCGTCACACCGGATGGCTTATATGAGTTCAACGTCATGCCCTTCGGACTCTGCAACGCGCCAGCGACTTTCGAACGCATGATCGACAACATCCTTCGAGGCTTAAAATGGAAAACATGCCTATGTTACTTAGATGACATTATAATCTTTTCTTCCAACTTTGAGGAACACCTTGAACGGCTTTCCCAGGTCCTGTCCTGTTTATCTGCCGCCAACCTCCAGCTTAATACTAAGAAATGCACGTTTGCGGCAAAAACAATTAAGATCTTAGGGCATGTCATCAGCAAACACGGTATCAGACCTGACCCCGACAAAATAAAAGCGGTTTCAGACTTCCCTCGACCACAACGCCAAAAGGAATTGCGAAGCTTTCTAGGTCTGTCGTCGTACTTCCGTCGTTTTATTCGCGGCTTTGCAACCATTGCCGCTCCACTTAACAACCTTCTTAAGAACAATTCCACCTTTACCTGGTCTCCTGAGTGCGAATCTGCCTTCACATCCTTAAAAGCAGCCCTGACTTCCGATCCTGTCCTTCGACACTTCAACAACAACTCCGCCACCGTTCTCCACACAGACGCTAGCGGCTACGGCCTTGGAGCAATTCTTCTACAACCCGACGACTCGTGCGTAGAGCACGTCATTGCTTATGCGAGTCGATCTTTGAGCAAGCCAGAGCAAAATTATACAATAACAGAGAAGGAATGTCTTGCGGTGGTTTGGGCGATCGCAAAGTTTCGTCCTTACTTATACGGCCGTCATTTTTCAGTCGTCACTGATCATCATGCGCTCTGTTGGCTAGCCTCCCTAAAAAATCTTTCAGGTCGTCTCGGACGCTGGGCGTTGCGCCTGCAGGAATACGATTATACAATTGTTTATAAATCTGGCCGAAAACACCAAGATGCCGACGCCCTCTCACGATGCCCGCTACCTCAACCCTCGACAATTACGACTATATTAAATATTGAGACGAGTCCATCCCCGACAGAACGATTTGATGAAATAGGGATCGCCACCCAACAACGCCAAGACCCCCAGCTACGTAATATCATTGCCCAAATGGAAGGAACCTCACCTACGACAAACGCTCGCTCCCGACGCCAGCTCTTGCATTATCAGCTTCAAAATGATATTTTGTACCGTCGAAACTACTCGCCCCACGGACATCGTTGGCTTTTGGTTATTCCTCGTACTTTACATGCCTTGGTCCTTGAATCTCTGCACGACGATCCCACAGCCGGCCACTTAGGGCTCTTCAAAACTTACTGTCGTGTCAGAGAACGATATTTCTGGCCCGGAATGTACACCGCGGTGACAAAGTATGTATCTTCTTGTCTCGTATGCCAAAAACATAAGTCTCGCACATCTGCACCCACCGGCCAATTACTGCCACCCCGCTGCCCTTCACAACCTTTCGAGATCGTAGGAATTGACTTGTTTGGACCGCTACCACGCACAGTCAATGGAAAACGATGGGTTGTAACCGCTGTCGACCACCTTACACGATACGCAGAAACAGCGGCTCTTCCAACTGGCTCCGCCACCGAGGTTGCGGATTTTTTCGTCCACCAGCTACTCCTCCGACATGGAGCACCCCGCGTGCTGCTCAGCGACAGAGGTCGTACCTTCTTGTCACAAACAGTGCAAGAGGTCTTAGCTGCTTGTGCAGTCATCCACAAAACAACATCCGCTTACCACCCACAGACCAACGGGCTCACTGAACGCTTTCATCGTACCCTTGCGCACATGATCGCAACGTACGTATCATCAGATCATACCAACTGGGATGCAATTTTACCATTCGTAACATACGCATATAATACGGCCATTCAAAGTACAACTGGGTACTCGCCATTTGAGCTCGTCCACGCAAGACAACCGACATCACTGCTCGACACAGTACTCGAGTATACTCCAACTGAGCCCCATACAACTCTCCTCGATGACCTCGTATCCCGTGCTGAAGACTCCCGTCAACTTGCGCGACTTCGCACTGTTCAACACCAACAGGAACGGAAAACCCGACACGACTCCATCCACAAGAACGTCAGCTTTCAACCTGGAGACCTTGTTCTCGTCTCGTTGCCAACACGCAAGCCCGGCCTCTCTGAAAAGTTACCGCCTCATTACATCGGCCCCTACCGCGTCATCGCTCAAACAACTCCTGTCAACTTTCTCGTGGAACCAGTACAAACACCCACCGATCGCCGCTACCGCAGCCGCGAACAGATTCACGTCTCCCGACTCAAACCTTTCACTCCCCGCTCAACGGCACCCCTTCCTTCCCTCTGTGGCCAGGTGGCCACCTTTCCGCAACCGGGGGAAAACTGTGAGGGCGCTTCTGCGTAGCACTGCCCACGGACATCGTCGTCGTCACTTTTGGCTGTGGGTGGCGCGATCGGCATCGTCAGCTGATGAGTGGCACCTTTTTTGAAACGTTCTGCAGCTATCAGACTCTGATAAAAAACCGTCATCTGACCGACCTGTCTCTGTCGTTTGTACCCATTTAGCCCACCGGCTAAATGGGTACAAACGTCCCCCGACCCCGGCGCTCGGGTTACCATCCAGGGGATGACGTTTGGGAGAGGTTCCGCAAACCCCGCTAAGCCTAGCTGCGAACACTTAACCGCAACCGGTCAGGTTGCGGCGGTATGCCGCCTTCGGGTGGCGTTGTTGCACTCGTGCAGACTCTCGTCCTTGGGAAACCAGGTGAAAAGTTGAACGCAAAGGCCCTCAGAAGCGCCCTCACAATATATATATATATATATTTTTTTTTCTTTTATCCAGAGGCTTTGGCGCACGCACAGCACTGCACTGCACTGCACTGCACTGCACTGCACAACACAACACAACGACAGACTTTCCACAAACACACCACTGCGTACGAGGACACGACCACGTAGAGCTGCACGAAAACAAGCGCCGTAACTTAATAAAAAAAATAAAAAAATCCTTTCACTGGACGGACGGCACAAGAACGGAAACTGCTCAAAGAGCACACACACACACGACACATATTAATGAATTAATAAGGGGCACAAGTAGAACGTAGGACACGGCACCCACACCAGAGGCCTTGCACAAGCACAGCACTGAGCACTGAGCACTGAGCAGCAGGTCACAGGACAGAAATGACGTCCACGCTGAGTAGGCCGAAGGCAGGGAATTACGGACGCACGCGAGGTCACCCACAGGCACTTTCACCGGAACCACGCCACAACACCACGCTGCAGAGCGCGCACTGCAAAGCGAAACCATGCGCTCACCTTCGGAAAGCACGGAGGGCGGGCGGCACAGAGAAGCAAAAAGACGTCAAAAGCACATCGCGATGAAGCGGCGGCGAATGAACACTACTCACTGGTGGAAATGGATATCTCCTCAAGCGAAAACATGCAATGAACACGCAAGGTTTAAGATGCACGTGGGAGACGCGCACACTTTCAGAAACCAGGTACGCCAACGCACGCGGGCAATAAGACGGACAAAACGCGTCGAAAATACATCGCGTGCAAGCAGCGCCGACTGCATACTACTCACGGTTGCAAAGGTTTCTTACAAGTTTGCACTCCAGAATCTTAACGCGTTGGCAAGCGTCCGAGCTCACCAAGAACCAAGAACTATCACTCCGCAGGAACAACGCAAAACAAAAGCAAAAAAAAAATAATAATAAAAAAAAAAAAAAAAATGTAGGAGACCGCTAGATAGATGAAAACACCGTCATACTTTGTAAACAGAATTTGGAAAATAAGTAGCGCCGCCAGGTGGTCGGCGCCCAA